AGGAGTAGATTTTGAAAACAGGGTTTGATTTTAAACAAAAAAGAGAAAATCAGCAATTTAAGTATTCACCAGAACTAGCAATTTCAGCCCAAGCAAACGAGACTGCTTCCTTTATGTACAGGAAAGGGCTAATATCCCTCTGGCCATTCGCGGAACAATCAACCGCTCTCTTATTTATGAGTAAAAATGGCGAGAGAGTTAGAATTCATAGGATTTTTTTATTTATTTTATTTTTTTAACATTCTCAGTCATGGTCAAGGCTAATTCTACTTAACTATATGAATTTTTATGTGCTTAAACTTTGAGTAGACTTTTAAGTCTGATTTTTGTAAATAATAGACAAAATGATAAACACTGTAATCACTTAAATGCCTGATATCACCAGTTCTGCTTCAAACATCACGAGCAAATCTGGGCTGAATTTCAACACATCAGCTACAAATTGGGAAAGTTGAAAGGGACCTGGGGTCATCTAGTCCAACCCTAAAATACAGGGTTCATAGCAAGATTTGTACTACCAGAAACACACACATACTTATGTACACAGACACAACTGGGGAAGAGACCACAAGCCATGCGCCTATCATGTACTAAGGAAGAGGAAAATAAAAGTACCCAAGTAGTTTGAGTGAGAGTTTACTTCCTTAGACTAAAGAGTGAAAGTTCCTAGATAAATTATCTTTAAAGACTGAAGTGAACAATTTTCCTAAGATAGGGAGAGGATCTCTTATAAAGCATAGTTAAAACAGCCATAGATTTGATTTGAAAGGAATACAAAAGTGAACAATTTTTCCTGAACTTGCAGAGGAATAGTATGCCTAATCTATGCCCCCCCCTTGCAGTTTCCTTTAAAGGAAGCTTACTCGGGAGTAAATTTACCTGGCACAGAATAAGAAGAAGAAGGGGAAAAAAAACCCTGAAAGAGACAGAATGAAACAAGGGGGGGGGGGGCATTTTCTAAGAAAAGAGGCCTGGACGTCTTAGAGACTGATATCAGGAGCCTTACAATAGCTCTTCTGTCCAACCAAATCAAAGTTAAAACTGGACTCACATATTTTTCTTAGAAGGAACGCCATACTTTCATAGGCATATGCTTAATGAAATACATACAAGGAGGAAGACTCTTTTGAGCCTCTCTCAAATAACAAACATTTGCACACTTCATTCTCATTTTATCTTGTTTAAGATTGTTAAGGTTCAACATGGCTTCCTTAGATTTAGAACTTGGAGCAAGCTTGCATTTTTATTTTAGATGGCACATTTAAGATAAGCAGCTGCTGGATGTTGCCTAAGTACAATTTAAACACTGGAAAAACGTTTCTTAAACACAAATTGAAGGGGACTGTCAGAGTCCAGGCGGGAAGTAAGCACCAACTGGGCTTTTTTTTCCATCAGGAGTCTGTGGGTTCATTTCTTTTGATTGAGGTGCACCCATTTTAAGAATTTTAATAGCGCTAGCTTTTACCTTTATACTGCAGTCGGGGTTTTATCCCCACTTTTCAGGAAACACAATAAATAACCCACAGTACACTCAATTTGGACAACTCCGAGAATTAGTACTGTGACACACCGCCGTTCGTCTGGCCTGACTTACTAGGCTGGTACAGCTGTTGGCCTTTCCTGGCTACTAAGCTAACAGTGCGGTCAGCGATCTCAAACCCCCCCTTTGGTCATTACTCAGCCAGGGAGCCCACAGCAACCTCCTGCCTCTTACAATCTAACCTGAGAGTTCCCTACTGGACGCTTGCGTAGCGCAGTGCCAGATTGGGACTCAGAAATGACAAAGAAGGAAAGGAATCAGGTGCCCTTGCTTTCTCTGCTCACAGGTCATCTCTAACAAAGATCGCCATGGCAGAGGTGCGGCTGCACCTGGGAGTTATAGTTTTCAGTACAGAAGAAAAAGCACGACCTTTTTCTGGGCAAAACTCCGAAGGAATAGGTCAGCATATAGACTGTAGAAGGGAAATGAAAGAAGTCACACACAACTTTTGCCTGGGCATACTCCGAAGGGCTAGGGCTGGTGTTGAGATTGAGGGGACAGAAAGGAGAAGGCAATTTTTAGATGAGGAAAGAAGTAGAAATTTTAGATTTGAAGGGAAAAGGAAGAATTACAAGAATTTTGGTTGCTGTGGTTTAGAGACCCCAACCCACTACCCGTGTTTCCTACTTAATACTCACTTCCGCATGCGCTGTTCCTGGTGATCCCACGATCTCTTGACTGGTTGTTTAAGGCCGGCCTGATCAAGCGTTGCTTCCTCTGGTTAGCCCCGCTGAACCTCCAGTTATTTCCAGACCCTGGGATCGATGGAAGACTGGTTATTCCTCCTGGCAAACTGCCTGGTGCGCGCTGGATAACCAATCCTTCCTCGCTTCCAGAATCCGGGTAACCAAAAGTCCCTTCGTGCGTGGTCGCCATCTGTTGTAAATAAAATATATGCCCTTTTCCCCTTATGGGGTATCCAAGAGCCCATATAGAGTCCTTACATAGGTTCCCTATTGGTAGGAGAAAATAACAGAGGCCAACCAGAGAATATTGAGAAGCAAAGCAGCTAGTAAGCCTGATCTTTATTGATCTGTTGCAACAGGGTACTCCCCTCACACGCAGGAGAGGAAGAGGACCCAGAAAGATGGTGTGCAAGACCTTATAAAGACTTTTGAAATTCCCATCCTCTAGATCAAGACCACCCCCAGAAACATTATGCATACATCACAGAAGGGGTGTAACCTAAGACCACCCCCCACCCCAATCATTCTGCTTGTACAAACTTCACACACACACACACTCACACACTACATACGCCACATTTCTGTTATAAATTCATAGAAAATCAACCATACATTGGATTTGCACTGTTCCATTTTTATTTTACTCCATATGACAAGAACTAACAGAAGGGGAGGGGGGTTTGACCCTGGTCAGCCAGAATCCCTTCACTGTCTCAGCACATCTGCAGGAGCCCTGCCCAGATGATCCCAGACAGAAGACAATCAAAATCACAAAGAACAGTGGATTCACCACAGACTGAAACAAAGGAGAATGATCAGATCTTCCCTCTGGGGGCAGGAAACTGCAAACTCCCCATTGTCACCTGGAAGGCACTCATGGGGAGGGGGAAAGGAGGAACCAGCTGGGTGACTGGACACTCAGGTTACCACCACAACTCCTCCCTCAACCCCTCCTTTCTGTAATGTATGCATGATGTCAACTCCTTTCTGTAATGTATGCATGATGTTTCTGGGGGTGGGCTTGAGCTAGAGGAGGGGAATTTCAAAAGTTTTTATAAGGTCTTGCAGCCCATTGTTCGGGGTCTTTTCCTCTCTCCTGCGAGTGAGGGGAATACCCTGTTGCAACAGTTCAATAAAGGCCAAGCCTACAGGCTGCTGTTTTGCTCCAAGTTATCCTGGTTGGTGTCTTTGTTTTTGTCCAAGAGAGCCCTCGGATTTTTCCGGTAACACTGGTCTCATGAGACAGAGCGTTCCACCAGGCCGGAGCCAGTGTTGAGAAGGCCCTGGCTCTGGTTGAGGCTAATCTAACTTCCTTAGGGCCCGGGACCTCTAGGGTGTTGCTATATATGGACCTTGAGGCTCTCCGTGGGGCATACCAGGAGAGGCGGTCCCGTAGGCCGTGAAGGGCCTAGGATAGTGATAAATTGTAGTGATAAATACTTAGTTCCTGGGCCATGTCACAGGCTCACACCTTATTCATATCTTAAATGTGCCCTTAAGACAGGATTTGTGAAGGAAAAGACAACGGGGAGGCTTTTCCATTTTCCTTTGACCTTGCAGAGAAAACATTTGGTCAGTTTGGGACAGTTTGGGAATCAAAATGGTTCCAGGTCGGTCTTCCTGTGCTGATCTATGTACGTGCTTGGTTGGTACACTTATGAACATTACCATATGTCTTAAGACCATAAAATTCCTATCACACGAGAGAGAAACCTACTCAAGGAAAGTCACTGGAAGTGGTGGAGGAAGAAGGGGGAAATAGAGAGAAAAGAAAAATGGTTTTGTGGAAGAGAAAGCAATGAAAAGAAAAGGAGAGCAAGAGGGAACAGATGGAAGCAAAATCACACCATCTAACTGCTAGGTCAGTTGGAATGTCTCACTGGCAGCTGCAGCAACATGTTCTTCCCAAAGCAACACAGAACCTTGTGTGCACCTTCAAAGACCATTAAATGCATTGTGGCTTGAGGTTTCACAGACTAGAGTTGTGGTTTTAGCTGCAAGAGATACGGATAGGAAAACAGGAAGCTGCGTTGTAAAGGCATGGTGCCCATGTGAGCCTGAAGGCGTGGCACCACCCTCAGCCAACAGCCCAGCAGTGTCTGTCAGCGCTCTTGTTTCCCATTTGGCTGGCTTTGCTTAGACCCATCTTGCATTTGTTTCAAAACTGCCAGCCTCAGGCGTGGGATCGTCCAGAAAGCAGGTGCGAGCTGGCACATGGCGATGCCAGGAGCCAGTTCAAGATTCCCGAGGCGTTCGGTTAGATTGCCCGAGACAGGATGTTTGCATCGCTCCATCCGTCTCCCGTCATTCCCATGGCAACTGAGCGATGTGCAGACAGCGTCTGCAAAAGCCGGCATGAAGGAGGGCAAAAGTTAAGCTGCCCGTTTGGAAAAAACACACACTTATACCAGGATGGGACTCTTTTGCAATAAGCTTGCCAGCCTCTCCTTTTGTTCCCTTGTCAGATCACGCAAAAGCAATCCCCGGCTTGATTTGGTCACCAGGGGCTGGGGTGGTCGATTTAAACCCTGCTTCTCACAGCTGTTGCCATTTCACACACTCCTGCCTTTTCCTCTGCTATAGCCTGGCATGCAGGGGCTCCCGAAAGAGACCAAGATGAGCAAACCAGCCCATCGAGGAGGCTTGCAGGCGTGGGGGAAATGGCTGCTTCTCCTGAACGCTGCTGTCCCTGCAGTCTCCCCCATGCAGACAGGTAGGCTGAAACTTTAGCTCAGAACTTTCCAAACTTTTCCTTTCTTTTACATTTTTCTTTTGCAATTCAACAGTCACAATTTTTATTAAATTTCTGTTTTACATTTTAGAATATTCACTTAAACAACCTTAAAATATCAATGACTTCCCTTCCTCTCTTCCCATGGTTCATTTTGCACAACATAAATCCCTGCATATTTTATATAAACTAAACCATTCAGTAGTCCATTATTACATCCATCAAAGCTTATTTACACTGTTGAATTTATCTTAATGCTGCCCATGTTTTCAAGTGTACACAATTTTCCTCCATATATTCAATAAACATCTTTCCAATCTTCTCTAAATGTATGTTCTTCTTGTTCTCTTATATGTTAGATCCGCAATCTGCGCGTATTCCATCAGTTTAAGTTGCCATTCTTCTTTAGCTGGGACCTCTCTCGTTTTCCATTTTTGGGCTAACGAAACATGAGCCACAGTAGTGGCATACATAAATAGCCTTTTTTGACACCTGGGAATTTCCATCTGAGTTATCCCCAGGAAAAAGGATTCTGTTTTGTGTGTGTGTGTGTGTTTTTAAAGGAGCTTTCCAAACTTTTCAGGCTGGTGACACACTTTTTAGACATGCATCATTTTGCAACACAGTAATTCAGTTTTACTAACGAACCAGAGGTTAAACTAACCCCTTTCCAGTCCCAAGAGAAGCATTTGCACAAGACACTGCAGCCAGCACAGTAACCGGTCGCGACACAGAGTTTGGAAAGCTCTGCTTTAGCTGGTTCCTCAATTTCCTTCCCAGGCGATTTTGGATTGACATCTTGGCTTGGCCCCTAAATCTCTACCAGACGGGGACTGGGTTGGTGATGGGAGCTGGAGTCAAAAGACCTAGTGTAGCATCCAGGTATCTTAACTGCCCTTGCCTGCCTCTTTTTTCCATGTTGCTGGTTTTCATGGAGTCAATATGGCTTGGATTGTGGCTGTAGCACAACAAGGTTGCCACAAAGTGCTGTGTTTACTGCCCCAGGAGAGATAATAATCATGAGCTGAGAGTAGGACTGGGCGATATATCGTCCAAAGCTGGTTTGAAGTCCATATTGTGATAATGATTTCATAATTTTTGACCTGGCAATATATCATGAATCATGATTTGTGTGTGCGCTATGCTAGACGATGCAGGAAAAACTGTGAAGCCAGGCAATGCCTCTACATAGCTCCATCCTTATGACTACATTATTACATGAGCACTGTTCCACAGCATTTGATATTTTCATTTACATACATTCATTTGAAATAAGATGGGTTTATGAAGCAATTCTACACAGTTTGGTACCTCGCTTCATTTAAAGATTTTCAGAGACTTTGAGACTAAAGATTTCATTTTGTACTTGTTATGGTTTGAAGGAATTCTATAAAGATTGTCTATTGCGTATGTACATGGCCTAGACATTGCTGCCATCCTTATTTCAGGCATCATGATATATCATATATCACAGTGTTTACCTGGTGATATATCACAATGCTGAAAAGCAGCTATCGCCCAGTCCTAGTTGAGAGGTTCCCTGGAGATCATCTGGTCAAGTTGTGGTTCCAGAATGACCATTTCTAACAATTAAGCTGCAAAGTTTATTTGTTTTATTTACTTACTTATTTATTTAGTTTATATACCGTCCTTCTTTGTAAGATCTCAGGGCGGTTCACAGAATAAAATACAAGGTAAAAACACATATAAATAATTAAAACAGCTAAATAATAACCTGCCCCTCCATAATTATACACCAACATAACAGCTACCTTGAACACTGTGTGGTTCAGAAGTGTTTGAAAACCTGTCTCCAGAGGCTGTTCTCACTCACTACTGGCAAGTTGGAATGAGCCAGTGACAAAATGCCCAAGTGAAATTTCCCAGAAGCTGGTGGTGGGTGGGGGGGGGCCTATTGAGTACAGCCTCTCATTCTTCACACTAGGATGTATGGAAATTATGAGGCTGATGGGAAGAACTAGAGGGCCAGAATTCCTGGGTTTAATGTGCTGGCCGTTTTGTTGCTTCTGGGTAATGGTGAAAAGGAGTGAAATAAACGAGTGCCGGGTAATTGAGACAGCAGTTGACATTAGGCAACACAATAGAGTCTTGTGGCATTTTAAAGACCAAGAGATTTATAGTGGCATAAACTTATGTGGACTAAAGGAGAAGGGGTCTTTAAGCCACAAAGGTTTCCACTACCATAAATCTTTTTACCAACTTTAAATTGCCACAAAACAACCCTATCCTCTGTTGCACTCGACAGTAGCAAGGCAATCATCCTCTGGGTGTTATTCGGGTTAAACAGGCTTCCTTTGACCATCTCTGGGCCACCAATGAGCCCATGGTAATATGCTGGGTGTTGCAATTAGTAAATAATTTAAGCACGTGTGATAGTGTGCTCATTTAGCACGCTGATAAATGCTTGGTGAAGTCATCCATTTTCAAACAGCTGTGACAGGAACATTAGGCTGAACTCTCACTCGCCCCCCAAATCTCTAGTAATTTCATTCTTAGAAGCAAAACGAAATAGCCAACGTTGCACCTTGTTGACTGCAAACTGCACACAGTTGTACACAAATTGTCATGGAGGATAGTTCTGTCTGGAGATTGGTACTAAATTAAGCTTCCACTTTCAGAGGCAGTATACCCCATAATATCATGTATGGGGAGGGGGGACAAAGGAAGAGGTGGAGGGGCTGCAGCCTCATGCCCTGATTATGAGCTTGAGTCATCTCTTGCCAGTAACCGAATGTTGAATGAGATGGACTAACCAGCTTTGAGGTGTAATAAACAAAATCTGCCCTTATTCCCTTAGGGGGGGACACAAGAGCCCTTACTGTAGGTTCTCCATCGTGGTTCGGGGATCCAAGGTACGACTGTATAATGAATTGAAAAGGATGTTTAAAATAACTTTTGTAAAAAAAAACACCCAGAAGCTTTTCTTTTGGGAATTATAGTGACAGAACTACCTAAGCTGTACAGAAACTTATTCATGTATGCTACTACAGCGGGAAAAATGTAACTCGCCCCAAAATGGAAAGAAGCAGAAGTCCCAGCAAAGGAAGAATGGTTACAAAAACTTGTGGAATACGCAGAAATGTTGGAACTTACCGGGAGAATAAGAAATCAAGACAACAAACCTTTTATAAAAGAATGGCAATAGTTTATTGAATATTTACAGATAAATTGTAAACAGATAAGAACATTGGCAGGATTATTGTAATGACTTGCAGTTTTATAAGTGGTACCTCGGGTTACATACGCTTCAGGTTACAGACTCCGCTAACCCAGAAATAGTACCTCAGGTTAGGAACTTTGCTTCAGGATGAGAACAGAAACCGTGCGGTGGCAGCAGGAGGCCCCATTAGCTAAAGTGGTACCTCAGGTTAAGAACAGTTTCAGGTTAAGAACGGACCTCCAGAATGAATTAAGTTCTTAACCCGAGGTACCACTGTATATATTTAAAGTAGATGAGTAAATGGGCAAAGTAAGTTAATTTGGATATGCAGAAGGTATTAAAAATAAATTTAAGAAACAGCAGAATGAAGAGGGGAAAGGAAGTCAAGTTTTGAAATGTTAAAATGATTGTAAAATTAGTGAAATGTATAAATCTGAAAAGCAATAATAATAATAATAATAATAATAATATAATGGATGGCTCTGGCCCGATCCAGAAGGTGGTTCTTCTATGTATGTCCTTGTGCCTTGCCAATGACTCTCCCTTTTCCTCTCCCTCTTGCCCAACAGTGAGCGTGGTCGATTTCTGCGGCCAGACCCTGCATGGGGATGGGATGGTGTTGACATCCCACCGAGACTCCCGCCGTTACTACTTTGTAGTGGCCAGCACCGACTGCCAGCTGACCATGCAAGCGGCAACCCCCAAAGACAAGGTCCAGTTCCAGTTCCGCTTCTTCCTGGTGTACAGCATGGTGCGCTCGCCTTCCAGCACGCTGGCCAGCAACGACCACCCCACTCTGGCACTTCCCAAGTCCAGAAGCGAGCGGGAGACCCCTGACCCTTGCACAGCAGGCTCCTACGTGCAATTCTACGATGGCCAAAACCACACCGCGAAGCCCCTGGGGATGCCGCTGTGCGGGAAGAACATCCCACGGCCCGTCACCTCCACAGGCAACTTCCTCACCTTGAGGCTCGTGACTCGCGGCCAGCAACCTCGTGTCGACTTTGTCGGTGACTTCACCTCCGTTCGAACTGGTAAGGCAGGAAGCCGCTGCAAATGAGCTGAGCAATGCCGCTCTATCTTATTTTAATTTAATTTTATTGCATTTATATTCCACTGCTTCTCCAAGGAGCTCAAGGTGGTGTGTGCCTCCTCATTTAATCCTCCCAATCCTAGAAGGTAGGTGAGCAACTGGGCTCCAAGGTCACCCAGGGAGTTTCATGTTGCCCAGTGGGGGGATTTGACTCTGGTCTCTCCTGGGTCCTAGTCCAACACTTGTAACCCTAAGGGTAAGGTGCAGGTGATGTGGACCACTGGGCTGCTGTCAGGGTAACGGGCGCTGTGGTCTAAACCACTGAGCTTCTTGGGCTTGCCGGTCAGAAGGTCAGCAGTTCAAATCCCAGCGACGGAGTGAGCTCCCATTGCTCTGTCCCAGCTCCTGCCAACCTAGCAGTTCGAAAGCACGCCAGTGCAAGTAGATAAATAGGTACCACTGTGGCAGGAAGGTAAACAGCGTTTCTGTGCACCCTGGTTCCCGTCATGGTGTTCTGTTGTGCCAAAAGTGGTTTAGTCCTGCTGGCCACATGACCCAGAAAGCTGTCTGTAGACAAACGCTGGCTCCCTCAGCCTGAAAGCGAGAAGAGTGCCACAACCCCATAGTCACCTTTGACTGGACTTAACCATCCAGGTGTCCTTTACCTGTACCTTTTTAAAAATTTCAATGCTGGTGTTAAATGCATTTTAACTATTGTTTTAAGCTAGTTTGGGAGGAACATTCTAGGCAGTGCTTTTTATCTAGGGATACTCAAAGGTACGCGGTACCAGCACCTCACTGTAACAACTTCGTGGTGAGTACTGGCCCCTTTTTTTCTATAAAAAAGCACTGATTACAGTGGTACCTTGGGTTACATACGCTTCAGGTTACATACGCTTCAGGTTACAGACTCTGCTAACCCAGAAATAGTACCTCGGGTTAAGAACTTTGCTTCAGGATGAGAACAGAAATCGTGCACCGGTGGCGCAGCAGCAGCAGGCCCCATTAGCTAAAGTGGTGCTTCAGGTTAAGAACAGTTTCAGGTTAAGAACAGACCTCCAGAACGAATTAAGTTCTTAACCCGAGGTACCACTGTATAGGTACATTAAACAACAAGAACAGCAAAATCTGCCTTTCCCTCCCCTTGCAGGCTTGAACGCTTCGGCCTGCAGCATGGAGTCGTATTTTCCCTGCCACAATGGAAAATGCATCCCTCCCAGCCTAGTCTGCGATGGCAGCAGTGTCGATAACTGTGGGGATGGTACAGACCAGGCTGCCCAGTCCCCAGCCTGGTGCAAAGGTTGGTGGCTGTAGAAGGAAGAGGGTGTGTGTATGTGCTGTTATAAGTAAAAAAAAAAACCAAACTGCTCCTTTTCCCTTATGGGGTACCCAAGAGCCCATATAGAGTCCCTTTGCAGGTTCTCTATTGGTAGGAGAAAATAATAGAGGCCAACCAGAGAATATTGAGAAGCAAAGCAGCTAGTAAGCCTGATCTTTATTAACTGTTGCAACAGGGTGCTCCCCCACACGCAGGAGAGAGGAGGAAGACCCCAAACCATGTGCGCAAGCCCTTATATAGAAATTTTAAATTGCCCGCCCTGGAGTCCAAGACCACCCCCAGAAACATCATACCTACATCACAGAAAAGGCGGTCTACAACAGAAATCTGAGTGCATTGTTTTTATCATGTCTGCCAGGTTACCTGTTAATGGTCACTTGACTGGATTACCTGGGGATCCTGGACATTCTTTTGTTATGATAACTACTGGGCTCACACCCTATTCATATCTTAAAAGTGCCCTTAAGACAGGATTCGTGAGCAAAGAGACAATGGGGAGAGTTTCCATTTTGACCTTGCAGAGAAATATTTGAGGCCAATTTGTTCAGGACTTTTTCTATGGGGTTTCAGACATGTGGTTTATATACAGTTATGAACATTTATTTTATATATTTATGACCTTAAAATTCTTATAACAGTGCCATTCCTTGCTCATGATCACTTTAAAAAATGGGTGAGAAAGTGATGCTGAATGCCTGAGCCTGATGGCTGCAGCGGCCCCTTAAGTTGTTAGGAAAGGGAGGAGGGTACGCCCCTCTGCTTTGGTTTCTCCGTGGCAGCACAGAGGCCACTACTGTTTTTGACTCTTTCTCCTTTTCAACTCCAGGCTCACCCACGCTCCTGCCGCCCTTGAATAATGCCGAGGCCTCTTCTGCAGTTAACGCCCTGCCAAGTCAGGTGACCTGCGCAGGACCCCAGGAAAGCCAGCTCCTGCCCCCAGGCACTGCCACCTGGGACAAAACAGGTACAGCAGTACCATTGCTGGCAGGAATGAGGCCTTGTAAGAACTTGGTTGTTTATAGTGTGCCATTTGGGAACTCCCTGCCTGTTGATACCAAGCAGGCGGCTATGACTGTACTCTTTTCAGCTAAAACCACAGTTCTTTCTTACCTACAAAAGGCGATTCTATGTTGTTTGGCACAATGGCAACTCTTCAGCTCGCCCACTCACTCTAACCCCCACCCAAGTCTCCAGGTGCATACAGAAGAAAAAAAAAGCCTCATTCAAAGCATTTGAGGGTAACTCCCAGATCACCCTTATCTCCAGAGTGATAGTCAGACTATCTGTTATCAATCACCAAGTCAGCAGGAGCTAACAGGAAGACAGCCAAACTGCCATTCGTCTCCCCTGGAAATCTGCTAAAAACATTAAAAAAATAATAATATTTATGCTTTTCAGGTCTACATTTCACTAATTTTACAATCATTTTAACATTTCAAAGCTTGACTGATTTCCTCCTCTTTCTTAGGTTCCTTGAATTTATTTTAATATCTTCTGCATATCCAAATTAACTTAATTTGCCCATTTATTCATCTACTTTAAATATATACTGTTATAAAAGTGCAGGTTATAATAACCATGCCAACGTTCTTATCTGTTTACAATTTATCTGTAAATGTTCAATAAACTATTTCCATTCTTTTATTAAAAAGTTTGTATTCTTGATTTCTCATTCTTCCGGCAAGTTTTGCCATTCTTGCATATTCCATAAGTTTTTGTGTCCATTCTTTCCTTTGCTGGGACTTCTGCTTCTTTCCATTTGGGGGCGAGTAACATTTTTACTGCTGTAGTCACATACATGAATAAGTTTCTGTACAGCTTAGGTAGTTCTGCCACTATAATTCCCCGAAAGAAAAGCTTCTGGTTTGTTTTGTTTTTTGCAAACATTATTTTAAACATCCTTTTCAATTCATTATTTATCATATATAAAACATTTTTGTATAGCTAAACCTATCCACATGCTTATAAAGTTAAAGTGGAATTTGAATCTCTTAGTATTTTAATTTTTTGTAGGTTTTATTGTTGTAATTTTTTGATTTTCTTTGTTCTACCCTTTTGTAAACTGCTCCGAGTTTTTCTTCACAGCCAGCAGTGTCTATGTTTTTTGAAATGAACAACAGTATCAAAATAGCACAGCTGGGGCAATTGTTTGCTGGGGAAGACGATTTGTTCCATTTTCCTGCAAACTCACCAGGCTCCTTCTCTCCTTCTGCAGACAAACGCAAACCTCTTTTTGCTTCGCTGGCTGCCATCCTGGGCGCTGCCTTCGTGTTCTGGTGCTGCTGGAATCCAGGCTGGTTCATCTGGAGGATGGGCGTTGCAGGTACCTGCCCGGTTGCAATCCGTCTGCGCTGCCTGCCACCTCTGCCCACGCAGTCTGCACCCGCCGGGAGCCCCCAAGGTCACCCCGCATGGAAGCACTGAGCCACCCGTGTGACTACGAGAGGGGGGGGGCAGGGTCACTGGCCCTTAGTTTAGAAGAGCATGGGCCCAGAAGGGGTGCAGCTGGTAGTGGAGGCATGATGGGGCTAAGCCAGGGTAGGCAACCTAAGGCCGCGGGGCTGATGCAGCCCAATTGGCCATTCTAAATCCAAACCCTGGACGGTCCAGGGAATGATTAGTGGTTTTTACGATGAGTAGAGAGCCTTTATTAAAAGGCATCTCTGGGTTATTTGTGGGGCCGTGCCTGGTCGCTTTACATGAGCTACAGTGGTACCGTCGGGCTTTAGAACATTAATTCGTTCTGAGGTCCGTTCTTAACCTGAAACTGTTCTTAACCTGAGGTACCACTTTAGCTAATGGGGCCTCCTGCTGCTGCCGCCGTGCGATTTCTGTTCTCATCCTGAAGCAAAGTTCTTAACCCGAGGCACTATTTCTGGGATAGTGGAGTCTGTAACCTGAAGCGTCTGTAACCTGAAGCGTATGTAACCCGAGGTACCACTGTAGAATGTTTCCTTTTATTTAAAATGCATCTCTGGGTTATTTGTGGGGCATAGGAATTCGTACTTCTTACTTCCCCCCAAAATATATAGTCCGGCCCCCCCATGGTCTGAGGGATGGTGGACCAGCCCACGGCTGAGAAAGGTTGCTGACCCCTGGGCTTATCAGACAGATGTATACTGGCTGATTTCCCACAAGGTGGCAGGAGATGCCTGCTTCTTTCCTCAGTGGGTTCAAACTAAGGCACTTGGCACCAGGCCTTGAGATACGCTCACATCCACACCATGCATTTAAGAACACAAGAAGAGCCTGCTGGATCAGGCCAATGGCCCATCTAGTCCACCATCCTGTTCTCACAGGGGCCGCCAAGATGCCTGTGGGGAACCTGCAACCAGAGCACAAGGATACCCTTTCTTCCTGTGCTTTCCAGCAACTGGAATTCTTAAGCATTCTCTGCCTCTGACCTCCATGAACTTGCCTGATCCTCTTTCGAAGCCTTCTAGATTCTTGGCCATCACTGCCTTCTGTGGGAGGGAGTTCCATAGTTTAACTATGCACTAAGTATTATTATTATTATTATTATTATTATTATTATTATTATTATTATTATTATTATTATTTTATACCGCCCTATACCAGAGGTCTCAGGGCGGTTCACAGAAAAGATCAACATAAAAACCACTGTCAGGGTTCAGGAGCAGAGGCGAGGGCAAGGGAGGAAACAGAGAGCGAGGGGGAGGAGTCCGAAGAAAGGATGAGTGATGACGACGACCCGAGATCTCCGAGCCTCTCCAGTGAATCAGAAGATTCACAGAAGGAGCGCCAGTGGCCAGAGCAAAAGGGGGAGGCTAGGGGGGCACCCCAGGAGGAAGGGACCAGCGGGGGTTCAGAGGGCAGCAGTTGGAAATCGGGGCCAGCGTCCCCAGCAGAGCGCAGTGGAGAGGAAAGACGTCAGGGATCGAGCCCTGGCAGCTCGCAGCAGGGAGGGGGGCATGAGTCAGGAGTGGCCACACCTCCATCGGGGAGCGAAGAAACGGTCAAGCGGAAAGTGGAAGGTTGGGCGCGTGCGCCAAGTTCAAATACACAGGAAGGCGGCGCAGTAAGCAGCCCGGAAAGGGAGCCAGGTCCTAAAGCCCGACGCAAGGAGACAGGAGGGTCCGGGGGGTCAGCGTCAGAGGAGTCCAGGAAGGAAGAGACCCACGGGGGGGCAGAGGGACCCAGAGAAGGACCGGTCAGGCGGAAAAGGTGGAGTAAGGCGAGAGATATTAAGTTGGTGTACAAGGGGGCGGAGACTCAGACGGAGCTTCGCCGGTCTAGCCATAAGACGTAGAGTTGCACGCAGCCAGCTTGGAAATGGAAACTGTGACTCAATAAAGACTTTTATAAGCGAACGCTGGCTAGCGTGATCCTCTGTGAGCTAGGATCGGGGAGCAGCCTCTGACAGTAAGCTCCGTCTCCCATTCCTGTGGGCATCTAAAGCTAGCGAGAGGAGAGAAGGCTGGTGCCTACTAGAGAGCTCACGAACGGCAGGCAAGATGACGGCCGAACAACAGATAGCGGATCTCAGAGAAGCAGTGACACAACTGAATGCGAGGTACTTGCATCCAGGAAGAGAGAGGAGGACGCAGCTGCCGCCTACAGGGATCTCCAGGTCAGGTTGGAAATGCTTACGAAGCAAGGGCAACTGACACCCAGACCGGAGGGGATTGGGTTGGGGAGACGAGCAGGCGGTCTAGTCTCTCACTTCGATGGAATTTGGCAACAGTACCCCAACTTTAGAGCAGATGTAAAGTGTGCACTGCAACTGCTGGAAAAAGGGACTTTAGAGATGAGCAAGAGAAGGTGGGGTTTATTATGTCCCATTTGCATGGAGATGCTAAGCATGGCTGCGCAATTTATGGAGAGATAAGGATCCGGCGCTCCAAAATGCGGCATGCCTTCATCTAAAGCGATGGATGGGTGCTTTTTATCAAGCATAGACGTGGATCTCGCCCGGAAAGAGATACAACGGACTTAAGCAAGGGGAGGGCAGTGTACGGCAGTATCCATGCCCCGCTTTTTTGCATTGGTCAGTGCCCTGGAATGGACAGAGACTCGGCTCCAGTCAGAGACTGTTTTGGGAAGGCTTGAGCGGCCCCGGTTAAAACAAAATTGCGAGGGGGGAGAAGACCCCGGAGCACGCAGGAGATCGTTCAGAGGGCGCTCGCAGTTGGGGTCCGTCTGGAGGAACGTCCTTGGGGCAAGGATGAAGGGCGCGGAGGGCGCGAACCAGCCAGAGGCTACTCCTTCGTTCCCAGAGAAGCAGCGCGTGCGCAATCCACGCCTCCGCCAGGAGGAGGAGCGGAACCTATGGAGGTTGGAGGTGCAAGGGCTCAGTCAGCAACCAGAGCCCTAGCACCGGGAGCAGTGAAAGCAAAGCCTCCTAGAGGGAACCGGAAGTGCTACATCTGCGACAATCCCCAGCACATGGCGAAAGAGTGTCCCCAGAGGCTCCACAAGCACACTGCAGCCTCAGCAATGGTAACTGCAGCGACTCAGCAAGGAGAACCACAGCAGGGAAACGAAGGAGTCTGGCTGGAGACAGAGGCACTGGGGCCCAGCCAGACGTGTCAGTGAAGCAGTCCCCAGAGATGTTGCAGCCCACGGACCCCCTCCCGCCCAAACCAGTACACAGACCGCCGGCGGGACTGCTGGAACCTCTGGCAAAACCCCGTTCGAACCATGGGAGAGAGTGGCCCTGGACTTTGTCACGGATCTGCCCAGCTCGAGGGCAAGACGGCAGTGCTAGTGGTGGTGGACTTGTTCTCCAAGATGGCACATTTCATTCCATGTGCGAAGGTGGCCACAGCGGAACAAACCGCCAAACTGTTCATAGATCACGTGTTCAAGGTTCACGGTCTGCCGCGGTCTATACTGTCTGACAGGGGGCGGCAGTTCATCTCGAACTTCTGGCAGAGGCTGATGGGCTTCCTGAACGTCAAGGTCAACCTGGCTTCGGCTAGACACCCGCAGACCAACGGGCAAGCGGAGCGGGTCAATGCCATCATGCAGCAGTACCTGAGATGCTACGCAAATCAACAGCCTGCGACGTGGGTGGACTACCTGCCGCTCGCCGAGTTCGCCTACAACAACACGAAGCACGTGTCCACAGGGGTGACGCCGTTCTTCGCCAACAACGGAAGGCACCCCAGAACCTTCCCGGGACTGGAAAGAATGGGGGAGGGGGAGCCGCAGACAGCAGACGCGTTCGCGTCAGAGTTGCAAGAGGTCCACGATCAACTTCGGCGGCACCTGGAGCTGGCGAAACACGCATACAAGGTGCAAGCGGACAAACACAGGAGAGTCGGCGAAGAGATCCAGGTGGGAGACTGGGTCTGGTTGGCAGCCCAAGCAGTGCCGACCAGGTCATTAGCGAAGAAGAAACTAGGGCATAAACAACTAGGCCCTACCAAGTCGAAGAACAGGTCAACCCGGTGGCTTTCAGGCTGATGCTTCCGGAGGGTTCCAGAATGCATCCGGTGTTCCACAGGTCGGTACTCACTCCCTACAAGACACCTCACAGGTTTCAGGAACCAGGAACGGCTTCCGAGTCCGCTACGAGAGGGAACCCAACAAGGGGGAGTGACACAAGAGGAGTCCATCAACGAGGTCACAGAGATTTTGGACTCTAGATGGGGAGAAGAGGGCGTAGAATACCTCCTCGCCAAGGAGGGCTTCCCGGCCACTGCCAACAGCTGGGTGCCAGGCTACGCCTTGGAGGAACCTCTGCTCAAGGACGCGTTTCATGCCCTTTTCCCACACAGGCCCATGCCAGCAGACTTTTTCGACGATTGGCTTTTCACACCGACGCTTTCAGCCAGCACTTTCCACGGGTTCGACTCGGACGAGGAACCGACAATGGACATGCGTTCCCCGGAGGGGTCGCCCTCGGGATCTGCCTCAGAGCCCTCGTATTGGTGGGACGATAGACCAGAGGAGCAGTGGCGCAGGAAGTGGCTGGAGGTTCCAGGTCGAGCGACGGACCCGGGAACGACTGAGGCGGAGACGGACGCGGACATGTTCGGGGAGGACCTGGGCTTCGAGCACGGCGGCACAGAGATGGAAGCGGAGGTGACCGCTGTCGATGAGCGCAGGGAGGAAGAATCGGAAGTCTTCAGTTGGAGGCCCACCAAGGGAAGCGAACTGTATCCGGCATTCGTCCCCATGACTCAGCAGCACCCAGCTCCCGCACCGGAAGGAGGGGAGGGGGGAAAGGGGGGCTTCGAGGGGGGGATGGATGTCAGGGGTTCAGGAGCAGAGGCGAGGGCAAGGGAGGAAACAGAGAGCGAGGGGGAGGAGTCCGAAGAAAGGATGAGTGATGACGACGACCCGAGATCTCCGAGTCTTTCCAGTGAATCGGAAGATTCACAGAAAGGAGCGCCAGTGGCCAGAGCAAGGGGGGGGCCTAGGGGGACACCCCAGGAGGAAAGGACCAGCGGGGGTTCAGAGGGCAGCAGT